TGAAAATAGCAAATATATTATCAACTTTTATTTTTCAGACAGTCGTGAATTTTGATAGACCGACAGAAGCTCTGAGAGCCGGTGTATTTCATGTAGCTACTCAGTTTCATTTGTTTGTACTCAGTTTACCTGGACAAGTTCTTCTAGATCATTGTAATGAATTAGTGAAAGAAATGTACGCATTTAATATATTCATATAATAAATATACTAAAATATATAAAGTAGCATGTATATATAAAGACCACAGGTGAAAAATATGATGAGAATTTTCATTTGATCATGGAAATTAATATATGTTTTTGTCTTTTGACCATTAAATAAAATTAATGACATCGATTATGCAAGTAATAAACTTACGTTCATTTTTTACGGACGTATTCTTAATTTGTTATCCTCTTTATATTAAAACATTTTTAAAATATTATTAACATCAAAAAAATTTTAGTGTCAAATTAAATGACTGGATTGAATCCACTTATGTGTAAATAAACTCCAATAGATAAACATTTAAAAAATAGCATTTATCACTGATTTTTATGACCTCATTGTAAATGATTACCATAAATTCCTATTATATAAATAAAAATAATTGACAATGGGGAAAATTAGTGAAGTGGTGAGTTCATACATGTAGTTAAATTGATTTTTATTCTATTTCTTTTTAATTAGCAAGTGACACAAAGTCACAAAGCGAGTCAAAAGTCAAAAAGCTAAAAAAAATAGATTCTTCATATCTTTTTCATATCATCTTTAAATTTAAACCACTATCTCGAACATAATAGTTTACTTCATTGACACAGATACAACTCTACGTGGTATAACATGCCAGTACCAGTTCAAAAAATGCTTTATATGATGCAAATAAGGTGTAAAAATCCATGTACATTAACAGCAGGTGGACTATACGAAATGAATATGGAAAACTTCGGAACAGTATGCATATTATGAGCATATTATGAAGTTATATGTCCGTTTATATATTTTCTACTACATTTAATACTAAATTTTCAATTTAAGACGTTCAAAACGTGCATGTCGTACTTTACAATGATAATGTCGCTAAAGCAATAATTTAGTTGTGGAAAATATGTCAGCATATTTGTTGCATTTCAAATTCGGATTAATTAAGAATGCAGGTAATAACAGTAAAATATGAAATGTATTATCAATTCTGTATAATTTAAATCACAAATAAAATTAGTGTATATCTTTCATACAGTGTTAATATAATTAATTGCACAAATGTTATATTTAATATCGATACTTTAGTAAGATTTCAGGAAGACTTGCATAAGTCTTACAAATTCGTGGTTTCTTCTTTTTCAGTGTACTAAAGTACAAGCGAAATTCACATTTACTGACATTAACAAATGAAGTCAGGCAAAGATCGGTCTATCCATTCCTTTGAAATTACAATACGTGATTTACCAAATATGTAAATAATCTTATAAAATGACATTTTTCATGCAACGTTAATCGTTTGTCGCATAAACTTTACCAAGATGATGAATAAATTCCTCCCCCATTCCTCTGAATTTCTTCTACATTATCACAAAAAAAGTTTATATTTTGGGTTGTTTGTTTAATCATAATTTATTGTTAAATTGTAGCTAGATAAAACTTAGCGTCAAAAATATTCACATCTCACAAATAACATTAATATCCTGAATATGAAAAATTCGTATTTGAAGAAGAACCTTCATCTAACTACACTGTGATTCAGAAAGTAAAATCAATTAATAACTTCTTTATAGAATCAAACGATCAATCTGTCCATCACTGAAGAGGCAATGATATGTTATAAAAACCACAATCAATATTTCAGAATAATTTCAGAATAATTCAGATTTTTCACATACTTGACAGATTGGTTGTTGGCAGATATTCACAGCAACCGCCGCATTATCATCATCTTATCATACAATGTTGCATATTAAAATTATTCAATGATGCATACTTGTCTGGTAACCGGATAATTTGCAACAATACTTATTGTTAGTCACTGTATTTCCAATGATATGAAGCATGGCGTGTCCACCAGATTGATTTCCATAGCTTTACGAAGAAGAAATTCTGTACTTTCGGTGTGGCAACTTTATTACATTCAATAGTCTCCATATTGGTCGCTGTTCTGAAAAACAAAGAATATGGATAGTAAGAAAAAATGGTATTTCTTGGGTCATTTTCAATTAAATTATATTTTCTTTTTTCATTATATATTTTTAATATTTTATTTTTCGAGGAAATATAAAAGAATACAGTAACTCTGAAAGTATTTTTTTTTTTAATGTATATTAATGAAATTTCAAATATTTCATATATGATAATTAATATATAATATGATATAATGATAATTTTAATTAATCAGTTATTAAATTATACATGATAATATTTTACATATGATAAAATATGAAATATTTTATATATAATAAATACCATTTATAATGATTGTCCAAATACTTTCGTGAGCCACCGTAGTTGATATGATTTCTGATATCAGTTTTTTTATTATAAAGATTGTTTTAAAATGAAAGTCTTTTTCTGCGAATTCAAATTAAAGTCGAGACAAAAAATTGGCAGGCCGCAGCATTATTATATGGAATTAAAATTACGTTAATTATATTCTTATTGATACTGAAAATGATATGTAATGCTAACCAATGTTTGTAACCAATTTATTCAGTATTAATTTAGAAAATAATTTAATGCTAATCAATATAAACATAGATCATTCAGTATTCCAAGAAACTGAAAATCATTTTTTCGATATATTTGATATTTCTTATTATAAAATACTTGAGAGATATTTGCAACTTTTGGTACAGGACCCACGTCAAAACAAGAAATTCAAAAATACTATTCTAACTATAGTCGTGATTATTGTGAGCATTCTTATGCCAAGTAAGGTAAGAAAAATATATAGTAATTATTTTATAATGAAAACATAGATAAAACGAAGACTTGGGTGAATAAAATAAGCAAATAAGCAAATCAAGTAAATGAAAAATTATATTTACATGTTGGTTATAAGCGCGACACAGCAGTTCAAGTAAAAGCAGTGTCACAAATGAGAACAGAAGTAAATTAAATATAGTATATTAATTTTAGCTATTAATTCAATTTTCAGACAGTTGCAAATTTAGACAGATTTGAAGAAGCAATGCAAACCGCCTTATTTTGCGAAGCTAATCAATTTCATTTATTTCTACTCAGCTTACCTTACAGGCCAGGTGCTTTTGGATTATTGTTCTGAATTAGCAAATAATATGTATGTGTTTCATGTACCCATATAAAATACAAATATCATCGACTATTAAAATTACAATTTATCACTCATGTGCAGATATGATTCTACGTGGTACAGAACACCCGTGCAAATTCAAAAATTGTTATATGTGATGCAAATAAGGTGCAAAAAATTCTGCTCGTTAACGGCAGGTGGACTGTACGAAATGAACGTAGAAAATTTCGGGGTAGTAAGTAGCAGCCTAACGTTACTGAACAAATAAGCAAAAGAGTCAAATAGATATTTTGTTTCGGCAAACGATATTTTAAAGAAATTTATATGATATATAAATCTACTATTCTGGTCCGCCTCCTTTGCCCATGCATTAAATTTCAATTAAAATTTCTTTAAACATCGCTTTGAGAATATAAAATGAAGAACATTTGTCACTATATATTTACGTATTTCATATTATCAGTTATTTTCATTTCCAGACTTTCAAAACATGCATGTCCTACGTCACAATGTTAATGTCACTGAAAGATTGAATTCGCGTTAATTATCGAAAATGTATACTCACGATCATCACATTTCATATCCAAATTGTCAAGAATACATAGTATGATAAATAGTCAATATGTAATAATGAATATTCTGAACGAGTTTAACGAACGTGCAAATAAAACTATAAAACTACACAGTTTTGCTAAGCAGTGCTAATATTTCAATATATACACCCTACCTAAATAACACCACTTCATCGAGTGTTTTGAATATTATTTTAAAAATAATTTTAGAAATATAAAATCAACCGACAGTACGGCAAAATAGCAAAGAGTTCCTTAGAAAATTTCAACAATGGTTCTCGATTGAATTCTCGATTGAAAATTGTAGGAAATAATACCAGATATACTGGGATACCTAAATAAATGCCAATGTCTCACAAACGTCATAATTATATAGAAAATCTGTTACGATCAATATTTAATTCCATTGCGACGAGCGGAACTTCAATTTTCTTATGAACTTATTCCTTGTTACTTTTTTTTCTTTCTTTTTCTTTCTCTATACTTACATCATTATTTTCTTATAAACAAAGAATCATTTAATTGTCAACGAATCAGTTACCAATAATATACCATAATGATCAAAATAACACATGTCCAATAATATCGAATGTAGAGTATAACTACAAACTGATTTCTGTATTCCTATCTGAAAATATTGTCACAGTTTGGGTATAACAATTTTAAGACACACAGCTTATCTTAAAACAAATGTGCCAGTTAATATTCTTGGGGTTCTGAAAATCTGAGGATATGAGTAGTAAGAGAAAGAGATATCAAAATAGGAAAATTTTAATTTTTCTGTACGCTGATGATTTAAGTGCGGATATCTACGCAAATTTATATCTTTATAATAAACATAACTTTGGAAGAAAAAGAAAAGATGGAATTTTGGAAGAAATTTTATCTATTATTACATAGTTTATACCTATAATATTATATATATATATAAATTATTATATTTTCTGTATTTTTGTACATTATACACATTCTATATACTTTTTTTATTTACTAATATCCTGAAGGTGAACATAAAAATCCGCAGTTTACTAGTAATATTACTGTTTTATTGTTTTTATTTCTATGGTATTGTTTATTTTTATGTAATCTGATCGCGAACTAATTCATGAAATACTAGTGTTCCAGAAAAATTTTGAAATATTTCATGTGCCTTACTATAAGACGATTGCGTGGTACATGCAAATATTGGGACAAGATCCACATCACAAAGATAGCACTAGAAATATCATTGTAATTATAGTGGTAGCTAGTATTGCAAGCATCTTTTTTCCAACGGTAAAGAAAATATACATCACAATGAGTTTTTAGAAATCTAGGACAGATAAAATGGGGAAATTGGATAAATATTACGTGATAAAATCAATAGTAAGCTAATGTTAGTGAACAATTGTAACTTGCAATATTTTAGACAATAGAAATATATACGTCGTTGCGTAACAAAGACATTGATGGAGTGCTCGAGTGTCTACCACATTTCATCGCAACTTCAATCACCTGTGTTAAAGTATTGAATATGCATTTCAACAGGCAAAATGTGAGCGGCATTGTTTTATCAGTAACAAATTCTAGGCGCAGATTTAAAAGGAACTTATCGTTTTGTAGTTTAACAAATTATACCAAATGGTGGCGAAACAATGGGAGCAATTGAGATTAAACGGCGAATTGCAGGTCTTAGAAGAGATTGTCATGCAAGGCAACAAAATAGCACAATTTTATCAAAGTGAGTAAATATTTTCTAATATTTCTAATATTTCTGAAAGTAAATAATAATGTTACACACTAATAATCAATCATAATTTCTCCAGATACTTTAGTCATTTTTTTCTCAATGTTCTTACTGATCCCGCTAATTTCTCCCATTCTGGATATCATCCACCCATTAAATGAAACTCGAACACGGCAACAACTACTCAGAGTTAATTACATATTTTTTAACGACGATGATTATTTTTTTTACGTGTATTTACACTTATCGTGGGGTGCATTCATGGTTCTATTCGCTGTAGTTGGTGCAGACTGGATATACATACTAATAATACATCACAGCAGTGGGTTATTTGCGGTGTGTGGGTAAATATTATAAATTATTGCTAATCACTTCGATATAGACTAATAAATATTCTAATCTTTATAACAAGTATAAACAGTCTCATTAATTACTTTATTAATTTAATTAATGGTTAGTCCAATTAATTGATCATGAATATAGACATCAAGTTCAGAAAGCAACCATAAATCTAAATTACTTTTCTGGTGAATGTGTTTTGGAGAATGACATGTATGAAAAATTTCGAAACTGTATACTTATGCACAAGGAAGCTATAAGGTACATATTTACGATATTACTAATTCGCTAAAAAAAAAAAAAAAAAAGAAAATAATTACTGAATTTGACTAATTTACGTTTTCGTTATGTTTAAAGATTTTTCAACATACTGAACGAATCCAGTCAACATAGTTACTTGCTCCAAGTCGGGTTGAGTATGTTGAGCATAAGCACGACAGCTGTTGAAGTAAAGGGAACCTTGCAAATATCAACATGCATACAAAATAAAAAACAACGTTAGCTAATTTAATAGTTTTATTCTATTTTCCAGACAGCTCTAAACTTTAATAAACCGGAAGAAGCAATGCGAAGTGCTGCATTTTGTGGAGCTAATCAATTTCATTTATTTTTACTGAGCTTACCTGGCCAGGTGTTACTGGATAATTGTTTTAATTTAACAGATAATATGTACGTGATTTATATAAAATAAGAACATTGATCATAGCCTCAAATAAAATTCGTTACTCGTATTAAAACAGATACGGCTCTGTGTGGTATAGCACACCAGTGAAGATTCAAAAATTACTATACGTAATGCAAATAAGGTGCAGAAAGATCTGTTCGTTGTCAGCAGGTGGACTCTATGAAATGAATATAGAAAATTTCGGGATAGTAAGTATCCTAATATTATTAGCGTAAAAACAATGATATACACACATTCTAATACTATTAGTATTATATGATAAACAATGATATATCAAAACTGCAGACAAATGTTTCATTTCATGCACGAGAAATTTTATATCGTAAAGAATTTTATTTGTCTTACATAAAATTAAAATTCTTCTAAATGGCTTTTGAAATACAACTTTTGAAATACAAAATAAAATATACTTACTATTTATAAATATTATCATTTCCAGACCTTCAAAACATGCATGTCTTATATCACAATGATGATGTCGCTGAGAGATTAAATTTACATTTGCTATTTCACCAATAGTAGTGTCATCCAAAGTTCCTCTATTTTATCAAAAATATATAACTAGGATGACAAACAGGCAAACATGAAATATTGAACATTTTGTACGATTTTGACGTGTATGAAAAAAAGTTATAAAGTCATATCACTAATGCTGTGCTTGTATCTTAATACAGAACAGATCCTTACTACGCTTAAATAATCATTCCACTGAGCTCTTCGTATATTACTTTTAAACCAGTTTTATAATTTCAGCAAAATAAAATCGACCGGCTATAAGATAAAGATAGAGAAGTTATTTCGTTTCAAGTAGCAATTAACAGCAACGAAATGTTTCTTGGTAGAAAGCGTAGGAAGCACTACTGCTAGTGTAGTAAAGTAAATGAATAAATTTCGATGTCCATCAAAAAACAATATTTCAAAGATCTTCTGTCTTTTATAACCACTGACTACTTAACTGACGTATTATATTATTACAAGACATTATATGGCGATAAACTAAGAACAAAACTTCCATATTCCGTAGACCATTACGACATTATATCATTTTCTTATAGATAATTACATCACAGCATTTAAGTTGTCAACAAGTCGGCTGACAGTAATTTATTTAACGGCTAAGATAATATATTTCTGGTAATATCAAACGTTGAATATAATTACAAGCATCATATTAATTTCTGCATTCGTAAGAAAACATTCGTCCTGAATACGACGAAGTTTTAAAATACACGGCTTGTCTTGACAGTTGCTGACTAGATTTTGGCCTGACTAAATTTTTGGCGTCTTGAAAACTTGAAGATATGAATAGTAAGAGAAGAAGATATCAAAACTAAACTGCTACTTATAATTTAACTGTGTATATCTATGCAAATTTTTATCTTTGCAAACGTAACTAAAAAAGCCGAATTTAGAAAGAAATCTATTTTTGCATATTATATACATTTTATCTAACTATCTTTTCCAATTCATTTCACGAAAATAAACATAAAAATCCGCAGTCTACTATTGATATTACTGTTTTACTTTGATGATATTTAGTGGAATCTGATCGCGAAATAATCTCGAAGTACATAGTGTTTCAGGAAACCAAAACTTCGGAAATATTTCATGTGCCTTACTATAAGATGGTTAAGAGATACATGCAACTTTTGGGACAGGATCCACAACACAAAAATAGCACTAGAAATATCATTGTAATTATAGTGGTAGCTAGTATTGCAAGCATATTTCTTCCAGCGGTAAAGAAAAAATATACGTCAATGAGTTTATAGAGATCTAGGATAGATAAAATGGAAAAATCGTGAAACTAGATAAATATTATTAAGTGATAAATATCAATGATACGTTAATGTTAGTGAACAACTGTAATTTATAATTCTTTTAGACAATAGAGATATATGCATCGTTGAGTAACAAGGACATTGATGGAGTGTTTGAGTGTTTACCACATTGTATTGCGACTGCAGTCACCATTGTTAAAATATTGAATATGCATTTCAACAGGCGAAATGTGAGTGAAAATTTCTTTTATACCCAGAAATTCACAGCTGTACAAACGTAGAAGAACCTTATTATTTTGTAGTTTAGTAAATTATATCAAATGGTGGCAAAACAATGGAAGCAGTTGAAATTAAACGGCGAACTGCACGTTCTCGAAGAAACCGTCATACAAGGCAATAAAATAGCGCAATTTTATCAAAGTAAGTAAATATGCTCGATATCTCAATCTGATTTCGAATATTTTTAATACTTCTAAAAGAAACAGTATGCGTAAAATTATTAATCAATCGTGTTCTCTTCAGATACTTTAGTAAGCTTTTTCATAATATTTTTGCTGATCCCGTTAATTTCTCCCATTCTGGATATCATCCACCCATTAAATGAAACTCGAACACGGCAACAACTACTCAGAGTTAATTACATATTTTTTAACGCTGATGACTATTACCTTTACGTGTATTTGCATTTATTCTGGGGAGCAATGGTTGTTGTATTCACCGCAATTGGCGCAGACTGGTTATACATATTAATAATTCACCACAACAGCGGATTATTTGCCGTGTGTGGGTAAGTATGATAATGTTCTGCGAAATATAGTTTACTATTAATCACTTTAATATGCACCAATAAATATTACAATCATTGAGTGATATGATAAATTTAAACTAAAAAAACTTTAAACTTAAAATATTCTCATCAATTCCTATCACGAGTATAGATACCAAGTCCAAAAAGCCATCGTGAATCAAAATTACTCTACTTATGAAATTGTTGTGGTGAATAACATGTATAAGAAGTTCAAAACTTGCATAGTTATGCACAAGGAAGCTATACGGTATGATTTTTCCAATGATTTTTTAAAGATAGAGTTTTAGAAAAAAAAAAAATATTTATTCGATATGTGCTAATTTACGTTTTCGTTATATTTGAAGATATTACAATTTACTAAACGAATGCAGCCAAAGTAGTTACTTGATTCAAGTTGGATTGAATATGTTGGGTATGAGTGCTCTAGCTGTTCAAGTAAAAGAAATCTTGCAAATGATAAGAAATAAATATTAAAAATAATTCTGCGTAACTAATTGCTTTGTTTCATTTTATTCTTCAGACAGCGATAAATTTAAATAAACCAGGAGAAGCAATGCGAAATGCTTTATTTTGTGGTGCAAGTCAATTTCATTTATTCTTACTCAGTTTACCTGGCCAGGTGCTACTAAACAATTGTTCCAGGTTAGCAGATAATATGTATGTATTAGTTCATTCATTTAAAACAGAGATATCAATTAAAGACTCAAATAAAGTTCGTTACTCATATCAAAACAGATACGACTCTACGTGGTATAATACACCGATAAAAATTCAAAAATTATTGTACGTAATGCAAATTAGGTGCAAGAAACTCTGTTCGTTGTCTGCGGGTGGATTGTATGATATGAATATAGAAAATTTCGGAATAGTAAGTTACAGTTTTGCACTATTGTTCAAACAATGATACATCAAAGATCCAGATATGTTATAATCGGTATGTTAAAGAATTTTATTTGTTATACTATCTCCTTTCGCATCAAATTAAATTACATTAAACTTAAAATTCTTTTACATAACGCTCTTGAAATAAAAAGCTTTTGCCATTATATTATGTATTATTTATAAATATTTATAGATATTATTTTCAGGCCTTTAAAACGTGCATGTCTTATATCACAATGATGATGTCACTGAGAGCCTAAACTTGCATTTGCTGTTTCACCTATATAGTGTTACCCGTGTAACGTAAAAAGCGTTTTATAAACTTGAAGCTATGAATAGCAAGAGAAAAAGATTTATATTAAATTATGGTATATTACTCTAAGTACACTAATAATTTGACAGCAGATGTTTATACACATTTATTTGTTTTTTCTAAATATAATTCAAAAGATAAATCCTAAGTAGAAAATATCTTTACCTACTTCGTATTATATAATATATTATTTACATCATAGAATAAACTACGATGCTGTTTTCTTTCCATATAATTTCGCATGTAATACCCACATTCTTTTTGTATTACAAATTTGCCATAAATAAATATATAGAGATAATAATGTTATATTATTTTATGATTTAAATGTAATGTTAAACTCGAGTTAAGTCAATTTAAACTTGGATCCATTACTAGTATTTCAGATAATTGATTATACCGAAATATATTTCATGTTCCTTACTATAAAAATATTGATAAATATATGCAACTTTTGGGACCAGATCCACAGTAAAGTAGCACTAGAAATATTATTATAATTGCAATAGTAAGGGAAATATATTAGGCACTTTTTAGAAACATGTCATCATTAAATGCGGTAACTGAATTAAATATTATGAAGCATCGGTAATCAAATAATATTGTTAAACAATTGCTACTTCCGATCATTAGATGGAATTATTACTACATGACAACGACATGGATGGCGTTATCAAGTATCTATCATATTTCGCAGCTGCAGTTAGTATTATGAAGATAATAAATATGCATTTCAACACGCAAAATGTGAGAAAATCTTCTTTTATACTAACTAACTAAATTCTCGACTATAAAGAAAAAAAACATAAAAACTTATTGGTGGAATGTTGCAGTTTAGCAAATTGTTCCGACTGGTGGCAACACAATGGAATCAGTTGAAATTAAACGGCCAATTGTTCTGGAAAATAATTGTACAAGGCAACAAAATGGGACAAATTTATCAGTAAGTAAAGGTTCCTGGAAGAATCTTAATATTATTGATATTCGTAATAATAGATACTTTTTCTATATAAATAATCAATATTTTTTCTTTTTTTCTCTCTCTCTCTCTCTATCTGCTGATTCCTCTAAATTCTCTCATCCTAAATGTTATCCATCCATTAAATAAAACTTGAACACAAGAAGAATTACTTAAAATTAATTACATTTTTTAATTATATTTTTTAACGATAATGGCTATTTTTTCCCATGTATATTTGCAATTATTTTGTGCGGCAATTATTGCATTGATCATAATGAGTGCAGACTGGTTGTACATGTTGATTTATCACATCAGTGGATTATTTGCAGTGTGTAAATAAATATAATATTCTAAATTATTCTATAAACAATCTACGGATTGTTATGACTTTAATATGTGCTAATATATTAACACTTTAATATGTGCTAGTATGATAAATATAAACAATTCTCGTCATCAATTCTTGTCATAAACACAGATATGAAATATAGAAATTGACATCAAATCCAAATTACTATACTGATGAAACTGTTTCGCAGAATTACATGTATGAAAAAATTTCGAAATTATGATACATTACAAGAAGTTGTAAGGTAGAGGTGGCCAATTAGCGATCCTCACGCCCTTATCCCTACTTTCTTAATCCCCTCCACTGTAACAATCTCTTCACTGCATTTAGAATATCGCGTCCACATTACTTGCATTAAGTATATACGTATACATATTGTATATAAATTATTTTTTTTAATGTATATAATGTTTTCTTTAATGTAACTGCTAAACTTAAAAGCCTATAGGGAAAGTAGTTTTGTATGGCCCGCCGCAGCGGGACAGAATAAACAGAGTGAGAAATAATAATCACAGTCAAGAAACCGGCAGACTGAGTGAGCAGTTCGTGCTACCTAAAAAAAAAAAAAGGGAAAAAGCTCGTGTAAGGCATGTATTTACACATTACAGATAGAATTCATTGAAAGAAATAAAATAATAATCGAACTTGACTAATTTGCATTCCCACATTTAAAGATTCTACTGGACGAATATATTCAATTTAGTTATAATTACTTAATTCAAGTTGAGTATGTTGAGTATGAACACAAGCACGACAGTCGTTAAAGCAAAGGGAACTTTACAAATATCAATACATAGAAAACTGAATGGTTCTGGCCAATTAATGCTCTTTATTTTAATTTTCAAACGGTCCTGAACTTAGGCACCAGAAGAAATATAATAAACATGCAATATGATTTCACGAATACCCAATTAAAGACATGAAATCACATTTTTTTCATACAATTCTAGTAGTCAACATATTGAATTCTTCTCACAAAACTTCAAACATAATGTAACAATTTTAACGAAGTAAAATCAACCGACAATATGACAATGATAGCAAAGAATTATTTCGAGAATATATACATGCAAGTAATAATGATGAACTTCTCGTGACGTGGAAAACTCTCAACTGGAAATCGCAGGAAATAATGCTACATTAGAATGCAATTGAAATAAATGTCAATGTCAACATCAAAAATTTCAAAAAAAAATGTCACGTTAATGTTTCTTACTTTCAATTGTTTAATATTTGACTGATACACTGCGAAAAGACATTATTAATATTTCAGACTAATAAAAGAGCTCCGACATTCAGCAGAGCTCTGTAATACTACCAAAACATAAGGAAACCATCATTTTCTTATGGACGATGTAATCGACGATGTTTAATGTGTCAACGAAACTAAGTGAAAGTGATATATTTAATGATCAAACACGTTATCAGTAATATTGAATGTCAAATATAACTAGATAAAAGTTTCTATACATCTAAAGAAAAAGCTATTTACGCTCCTGCGACAATTGTACGGTTATTCTTGTTCTGCTGGTTACGAACATTTTACGATCTGTAAACTTGAAGCTATGGCTAGTAAGAAAAAAAGATTCATATCAAATTATTTTACTCGAAGTACACTAATATAATTGACAGCAGATGTTTATGCAAATTTATTTATTTTTTCTGAATATACTTCGAAGGATAAATCCTAAGTAGAAAATATTTTTGCCTGTTTCATATTATACACTACATTATTTGCATCATAGAATAAACTACGAATGTTCTTTCCATATACTTTTGCATGTAATATCCACATTCTTTTTTTACTGCAAATTTCCTATAAATATATATATAAATATATAGAGATAATTATAACTGAAGTTAAATCAACTTAAGCTTGGAACCATTTACTATTAGTATTTCAGATAATCGATTATACTGAAATATTTCGTATTCGTTACTACAAAAATATTGACAAATATATGCAACTTCTGGGACAAGATCCACGTCACAAAAGTAGCACTAGAAATATTATCGTAATTATAGTGGTGACTAGCGTAGCAAGCATCATTTTCCCAACGGTAAGTGAAATATATTAATTATTTTTTAGAAATGTATCATCGATAAAGTGCGGGACAGGATTGAATGAGTATTATGTAATAAGTCAATAAATAAAACCAATTGATATTGTTAAAAAAAATTACCATCTGTGATCATTAGTTAATAGAATTATATACAACGCTATGTAACAAGGACGTGGATGGGGTTATCGAATGTCTACCACATTTCATCGCATCTACAATAAGTACTATTAAAATATTAAATATACATTTCAACAGGCGAAATGTGAGCAAACTTTCCTTTTATATTAAGAAATTCTCAACTATAGAAGAAACATAGAAATGTATTACGTTGTAGTTTAGCAAATTGTTTCACTTGGTGGCAACACAATGGGATCAGTTGAAATTAGATGGCCAATTGGATATTTTGGAAAAAATAGTAATACAAGGCAACAAAATAGGACAATTTTATCATAGTAAGTAAGAATTCTTGAGAGAATCTTATTCTTATTATTGATATATTTAATATTCACAATAATATATTCTTTTTCTATTACATACAATTACTTCTACGTAAATAATCAGTTATATTTTCCTCCAGACACTTTAGTATCTTTTTTGATACTTTTCTTGCTGGTTCCGCTAATTCCCCCCGTCCTAGACGTCATCCATCCATTAAATGAAACTCGAACTCGACAACAATTACTTAGAGTTAATTACATATTTTTTAACGGTGATGATTATTTCTTTTACGTATATTTACAATTATTTTGGGCGTCAATTATTGTTGTGTTGACCATAATCGGTGCCGATTGGTTATACATGTTAATAATTCATCACAACAGTGGACTATTCGCGGTGTGTGGGTAAATATAATGTTCTGCGAAACAGAGATTATTATTAATTAATCATTTTAATATGCATTAATAAAGATCATGATCATTATGTTTATGATAAGTACAAATATTGCCATTAATTCTTATCACACAGACATCAAATACAGAAATTGACATCGAATTTAAATTACTATACTCATGAAGCTGTTTCTCGAAATTATACATATGAAAAATTGCGAAATTGCATGCTGATACATAAAGAAGCTATAAGGTATGTATTTACTAATTAACGATAGAATTCACTTAGAAGCAATAAAATAATTGTAGAATATGACTAATTTTACATTCTCGTATTTAAAGATTTTTCGATCTACTGGACAAATCCAGTCAACTTAGTTATTTGTTACAAGTCGGATTGAGTATGTTGAGCATAAGCACGACAGCCGTTAAAGTAAAAGGAACTTTACTAATATTAACACGCACAAAACTGAAGATAGTTCTAGCTAATTAATACTTTTATTTTCATTTTCAGACGGTCCTAAACGTAGGTACGCCGGCAGAAGCATTCCGAAATGCTATATTTTCTGGAGCTAGTCAGTTTCATTTATTGCTACTCAGTTTACCTGGCCAAGTGCTAATCGATAATTGTGCTAATTTAGCAGGTTCTATGTATGTGATTAGTTCATTCACATAAGATAGATACATCAATCGTAGACTCAAACGAAATTCATTACTCATGTCAAGATAGATTCAGCTCTACATGGTACATGACACCTGTGAAGATTCAAAAATTATTATACGTAATGCAAATAAGGTGCAGGAAACTCTGTCAATTGTCAGCAGGTGGATTGTACACAATGAATATAGAAAATTTCGGAGTAGTAACTATCAGTCTAACACTACTATACAAAGCACAGATAAATTTTTCACTTTACATAAATAACATGTTAAAATGTTTTATTTGTCCTATTGTTTTCTTTCGCATCTTGTATTTCTAAGATGTGTTAAAATTAATATTAAAGTTCTTTTAAATAACGTTTTTGAAATATAAAATAACTTTTGCCTATATACTATATTTACGTGTATAGTAAATATAAATATTCTCATTTCCAGACCTTCAAAACGGGCTTGTCCTACGTCGCAATAATAATGTCATTGAACGATTAAATTTGCATCTATTGTTTCAACTATACAGTACCAAACAACACAATTTCCACCGTTTCGTCTAAGAATAAAATTCAGATAATAAATATGTAATATGAAATATTAAATATTTTGAACTACTGTGACGAATAAAGTTAGAACCACATATCTCTAACACAGTAAATAATACCATTCCATTGGGTTCTTCATATGTTGGTTTATTATTCTTAATTTTCTCAGATCAATCGGCTGCAAAATTAAGATAACAAACTAATATTCTCACAAGTAGCAAGGAACAATAATCAAACTTGCTTTCTCGGTTAAGTTCTGAATTAAAAGACGAAGGATCCATTATTACTGGAATATATACTTTGATTAATGCTTGATACTTCAGACACTGTTACGTCTGACTGATATTGACTCAAACATGCAAATATTTAGTTCATATCAATATTCTGATTAGTACTAAAGTCCCTTTTAGACAGAGATGTCACGTACGAATACACGTTGTATTACGGATGCATTCATGTGCGATGATACAGCCTCTTTCACACGTAAATATTTGTATCGTGATACATGTATAATGGATATATACGTAGTCAATAGTCCAATTGATGCACTCGATGTTTTTTAAATAACGATTTTCACACGATTCAGTATCTCGATACCGATAACATATCGACACTTCTCATAAGTAACGACGTCGACAGCCGAGATTTATTAAACTAAAATAAATTAAAAAATCACTGGCGCGAAAGCGTAGAATCATAGATAGTATAGATTTGAGTACTATTTGAATAAAATATTTGAAAAGTAATTATTTAAATAATACACAACGTCTTCACTTGATCTTATTTCAAAATAAATATTCCTGCATTAGTTTATTTTTGAACACGAAATAACTTTTCTCGAAATAATATTTCAGTATTTGATTATCAAATAAAATAATTCTTTTTGTATTTTAAAATTTATTTCTACAAATAGCTTATAGCAACCACAAATAACTTATAGAAACTATACCAAATAGTTTCTGACTCTGTTGAATATATATATATATATGAATAACTATTATACACACTGCGCCACAATTATCTATTATTTTGGGTATCACTTCAATAAGCACTAGTTCCTGATTGACGTGAAATTTTGAAGAATTGGAGGGAAGAAGGAGGACAATCCTAAATACAATATAAAAATTTAATTTCTATTAGTTTTTTAGATATTAAGGAAAAACATTCGGAACAATAAAATGAATTCAATGGTCAAATGGTTGATTCGTCATGGATAAGCGTAAATATTCTCATTAACTAACCGCTATGAAGAATATAGATATCAAGTTCACAAAGCAACTACGAATCCAAATTACTTTATTGGCGAAGAAATGTGTTGGAGAATTACATGTATGCACAGTTTCAAAATTGCGTGGTAATGTATAATCAAGCTATATGGTACGTAATAATTATAAAGTACAAATATAAGTAAATATATAATAAAATAATTATCAAATATCGTCAATTTACGTTTTCGCTAATATACTAACGTCAATATGTTGATATAAGATTTTACTATTTGTTGAACGAGTGTCGTCAAGACAGTTACATCTATACCATTTTTCAGACAGTCGCTAATTTAGACAGGCCGACAGAAGCGATTAAAACTGGTATATTTCTTGGCGCTGAACAATTTCATTTGTTTGTAATCAGTCTACCTGGACAGGTGCTTCTCGATCATTATTCCGATTCAGCAAATAATATTTATGTGTCTAGTGCATTCGTATAACATACAAATACTGATCGATAGAAGAAAATACAGTTCGTTACTCGAGTCGAAACAGATATAATATTATTGTTTCCTAAATTTAAATAAATCGATGTTACTATACTGTTCATCGCATAAGAGCTGTAGTATCTTTCTTACTCAAATGATGCAAAACAAACATTTCAATAAGTAAAATCTAAGCTGATTACTAAAAATTACTACCTACTACCAAACTGTCACCTAC